AGGACAGCCAGGGCTACACAGAGAAACCCTGTCTCGAAACACCAAACCAAAAAAAAAAACAAAACAAAAAAAAAAAAAAAAAAAAAAAATCAAATCAGGATGGCCTGGAACTCAGAAATCCGCCTCCCTCTTCTGGGATGTAACGTGTGAGCCGCCACTTAAAGCTTACTGTTTACAGTAGGAGTGATTGAATTGTGCAGTCCGATTTGAGGTCCTCCGTTAAAGGAATCTATGAGACAGTACCTTATAGATCAGTTTCCAGTCTCACATTGTACAAGCGATTTTTGGTAATTAAACAACACTTGTATAACTTTGTATCATTTGCTAGTGTTAGGTTGGTAGGTTTCTCCTCATCTTTTTTATAATGAACTTTTATTTTAGAATAAATTTAAGTTTACAGAAATTGCAAAAGTAATACAGAAATTGCGCACACTATGCCCAGTTTCCCCTATTGCTAGATTCCACACCTCGAATTCACCATGGTTTATTTGTTAAAAGTAAGAAATTGACTTGCTTTAATACTGTGAACTAAGCCGCAGACTTTAGACGTGGGCACTTTTCTCACTAATGTTTTCTGTGTGCCATAGTGTAACCCAGAGCATCAAGTTGCATTTGTCTTGCTTTTTACCTATCCTGTCAAGAGCTGTTTTCTGGATTTATGATACCCATTTGCTTCACCACACAACTGAGGTCCAACTGAGTCAAATAACTTGCCGACATTAACACTGTGGTGCCAGGACTAGGACCCATAGGCATCCTACCCAGCACTGTGCAAGAACCAGGAATACCCCCTGGTGCTTCTATACCCTACTTGCCACTGCTAGCTTGAGGATCCTGCTCTACCACCTTCCTGTACAGAACTGCTGGTCTTCCAGAGAGTTCTACTATGCAGATTACTGCTCTTCCTTTTGTGGACTTTTTTGTCTCCAGGATTTAACTGAGCCAGTGGTTGCCTGTTCATCTCTTTCTGGAAGCTTGTCCCCCAAAAGATTACCAGGTTAAGAGATGCAGTTTTTATCCTCTCACATGTAAGCAGGGTTTCTTGTTTGTTTGTTTGTTTTGATTTTTATTATTATTTTCACATAGCTGGTGATTCACAGCCTCTGGGCAGCATATTCAGAGAACCTCTTCACTGGGCCTCCAGACCAGCACCAGCCAACACCCCACTTTAAAGTCCACAACAAGTGGTACTAGAAAGGGGAAAGTAGTACAATTCAGCTGGGTATGGTGATACATGCCATTAATCTCAGCACTAGGAAGGCAGAGGCAGGCTGTTCTCTGTGAGTTCAAGGCCAGCCTGGTCTACAAAGAGTTCCGGGACAGCCAGGGCTATTACACAAAGAAACCCTGTCTCAAAAAAACAAAAACAAAAGCAAAAAAAAAAAGACAGAATAAAAAAGACAACTTTATCCACTTGTCTTGGGGTTCTTGTTCCCTCATATGTTCATCTCAGTTACTTATTATTAAATTGAGTTGTGTTTTTGTTAGATAATAGAAGCTTTTTGAATTATGTTTACCTATTAACAACAATGTTTTTCTTTGCCATGTGTGCTAATTTTTTTTTTTTTTTACAAATGAGAACTACATAAGTATTATTCCCCAGTCAATAAATTTCCCTTTTGATTCTACCATGTTTGTTTTGACTTGATAACTTATTGAGTGCCTCATCTTTTCCTGTCTGGATTTATAATATCTTCCTTCAACCTTCCCCCCCTTTACATCACCCTACAAGCAAATATTCTACTTTCTCTCTGAAGCCTTCTGTCCATATCCGGATACAAGCGTTGGTTTTCTTGACGTCTCGTGCTGGTGGTGAGCTGCTAGGAAGCAAGTTGATTCCACACGGTTCCTAATCCCAGCAGGCTTTGAACAGTCCACGTGACTGGAAGCTTGACTCTGTTCCTGTGGATGCACGTTGCACGTCTGTTTAGATTTAGTGCTGGGCTTATTCTCTTCTGGAATCGGCTTCTTCCCCTTTGTCAGCATTCACACGATACTTTGAGAAGCAGTGCGGTGCTGAGCCTGGGCAAGGGGAGAGTTGCCTTTCAACCACCAGAGAAGGAGTCTCCCTCACCCAGTCAGGACTTCTTTCTCCCAGGAGTTGGGGGGTAGGGGTGATAAGAAGGACCTAGCTATTTGTAAAATAAAGTCTTCCCTTTTATTTCCAATCAGCCCTCTTCCAAGTTAGTGCCATAGGTTGAGATCGCTGGGATATGGCAGAAAACAGGGACAGGCCTGTACCTGCCTCCAGCTTTGTCCCTCCAAGGACAGGACTGGAAGCCAGAGGTGAGGAACACCGGGCTGTATAGGTCAGTCCCCTTCCCAGCCAGCCCTTGTCCCTGGTGTGCCACCTCAGCAATCCCCTGTGCTAAGGAGAAATGGGGATGGGGGAATGTTAGGGCCAGAGCAGGATGCCATCCTATGAGGTGTCCATAGCCAGCAGTGTTAGTGGTCAGAGCCCAGTCAAGGTCAGGTTAGTGGGGCCTTCTCCAGCAGCCAGGAGAGGAGCTAGAGAGGGAGAGATAAAGAGCTGACAATGGCAGAAGACACTCCCATGGACACCCACCCAGCATAAGAGAGCTACAACTACTGTGAGGAAGGCCCAGGCCCAACTGCACACGAAGGTATCACTGAAGCTTACCACAGAGGAGAGGCAGGCTCCAGACTGGAGGGGAGGCTCAGATGGAAGACTGCCACTGCACAAAGCGCTTGGATTCCTGGCAGGGTAACAGGGGCAGAAAAGACATACAGAATCTGTTGTGTACTGTGGGGCCCTTCCCTCCTCCCTCAGGCCCAGGATTCCAGACCCTAGACCACCTCCCTCATGGCCAAGACTCATCCCTCTTCCCACAGGATCTCAGGCCCCATCTCTCCCTCAGACCCAGAGGTCTGGTCCCACTTCTCTTCTCAGACCCATTACTCATTTCCCCTTCCCTTAGGCCCAGGATCCCAGGCCCCAGTCCTCCTCCCTTCAGACCAGGGTACCTGAGGGTTGAAAGGGTCGTCGTCATCTGTGTCATCGTAGTCATCACTGAAGTGTGATGTGGGGAGTGGCAGAGAAGCAGGATGGAAACCAATCAGGAGGCTGTCCCATCCCCACCAGTGGCCCTGGGTACTGCCTCCTGTCCCCTCCCTGGGGACCCTGCCCTCTCTCCCCTGCTGACCTGGGCGGGAAGAGGGCCCAGGCACGGGGCAGGCTACACAGAGTAGTGGCCAGGGCCCCCGCAGACAGGAGAGAAAAGAGCATCAGGAACAGCAGGCCCTCCAGGGCATCTTCACACAGGCCTCGGAGTGCTGAGCCATAGTCCTGAGGCAGAGGGTGAGGAGGCTCAGGGTGTGCACACATGCACTTTGTACACGCGTCCAACCATCCATTTACCTGGCTGTCACCCAGACTCTCTGCGCCCAAGTCTCTTGTCAGAGAGTTGTTCTGAGCATGGAAAGTCACCCGTGTGTTCAGTTTCTGCCTTTGTTGAGCTGCAGCCCTACAACCCACTCCTACATTATCTCAGTCCCCAGCTCCCACATGCAAGGTGGCCTAGCATCTCCACTCAGCACCCAGAGAACTGCTCTCCCAGCATCTTGGGTGAGCAATCCTCTACTACACTGTCATTCCCAGCAGCAACAAGCCTGCCTCTATATCCACGGGCTATTGACAGATGAGGATGCTGGTAGCGTCCGTTCCTGCACTTGGGACAGTCACATCCCCACACATTGTCAGATGCCCCCCTGGGTCCCACAAATTGCTAGCTTACATAACACTTAGGTTTGGGCATCCATATGATAGACAAGCAAAAAGGACTGGCTACTGTGACCACCATCCTGGAGGCCAGCAGCACCTCTGTAACCTCAGTGCCCAGTGGCACAGCCAATATTCTGACAAGATAGACTAATCCGCTTTTGCTCCAGGCATACCACCAGCACTGGCAACCTTCAGTGCATGGGACCCAGGCAGCCACTTTGGAGAAGTGAGAGCTTGTGGGACAGGAAGACGTTAGGTTAGTGCTCAGCAGAGGCCATGCGAGAAGGACACTAGGAGCCAGGCAGACAGTCAGGTCTAGTCAGAGGTACATGGCTGGGCTGATGTGGAGGACAAGAGTGGCAACATCAAGACTGAGGCTGTCTACACAGGCCCCTACGAGGTCAGTGCCACGAGCCCTGGCTTTAATCCACATGGAGGGGGATTCACGGAAGGGTTTTTAGATGAAGACTCTGATCCGATTGTGTTCGAAAGGCTCACCAGCTGTTATTGGACAGATGGAACGGGCAAGATGGGCGTGCGAGAGGTGAGGAGGGCTAGGGCCCGAGGCAGTGTTGGCTCTATGAGCCGAAGAGGCAGTAGGAAGTGAGGCCAGGGAGCTAGAAGGACAGTCCTGACTTCCTGGTTCAAGCACTGGGGTAAAGTGCTCTACTATTGAGTGAGGAAGGCATGGGGTGAGAAGCCCACCAGGATAATAACCAATTACGTTTGCATCAGGCCCACATAGTGTGCGCTTACACCTTTGCAACCCCATCTGATGCTGCTGCCTTTGGCAGTGGTGGAGAGAAGCATAAGCCCAGAGTAGGTAATCTGTTTATACACAGTCACAGCCCAGAAAGGGTAGAACTGCATCCAGGACCAAGTCCAGGTTCCAGAGACACCTCCTCTTGCCTCTGTTTTAAACAGACTGGGTTTCTCTCTAGAGGCCTGGCTAGCCTAGAACCCACTTTGTAGACCAGGCTGGCCTCAAACTCATAGAGATCTACCTGCCCCTGCATCAACCTCTGGGAGGGCTGTGGGATACCGGGCTCACCCTTTCTTAGCCTAGCGTCTCTTGTCCCTGTTTTACTTGTGTGTATATTTTTGTCTGTGTGCTTGTGTGGAAGGGATTTTTTAATGACTTTTCATGTCGGGTAGGGGCAAGAGTCAAAGCCAAGCACTTAGATTAAAGCCACGTGCTGGCCGGGGGGTGGTGGCGCACGCCTTTAATCCCAGCACTTGGGAGGCAGAGGCAGGCGGATTTCTGAGTTCAAGGACAGCCTGGTCTACAGAGTGGGTTCCAGGACAGCCAGGACTACACAGAGAAACCCTGTCTCGGAAATAAATAAATAAATAAATAAAGCCACGTGCCACTACAGCCAGCAAGATTTTGTTTGGTTTTGAAACAGGCTCTCTCAATGGGACTTGGTGCTCACTAATTGGGATAGGCTGGCAGGCCAGTAGACCCCAGATAGCCACCTGTCTCTTGCCTCCTCAGTGCTGGGATTGTAAACCAGCACCACATTCTCTGCTTTTTACATGGTTTCCTGGGGCCTGAACTCAGGCCATCATGATTGCGTGACAAGCTTTTAATTGATGGAGCAATGGCCTCTGTCCTGTCCCTACTTTAACATGAGGAAACTAAGGCCTACATGCGGAACCAGTGCCTACAGCCGTGTTGTTTATCAATGTTGGGTGCAGACTCTGACCCCTCATGCCTCCCCTCCCAGTCATCTTAGAATCAGCATTAGAAATCGGCGTCTGCGTAAGTCATAAAGCAGGACTGGGGGTACAATGGAGCAAGGAACCCCCACTCCCATCCCTTGGCTTCCTGTTTGGTCCTGTGTTAAATACTGACCCCTCTGGGGCAGGATGCCGCATTAATTTCAGACTTTGGATACCCAGCAAATAGTAGTTTGGAACAAGGATCTCCTAGCTATTGCTTGGGTCTTCTTGTGGGGAAGAGTCTGTTTGCTGAGTCTGTATCCTAATTCTAAGGCAGGCCATCTGCCCAGAAGATGGTGAAGAAGCTTGTGTCCTTCAGATCTGAGCTACAGTGAGCCCTTTGGGGGTGAATGGGTAAAACTGTTTCTGAAGCAGCTTAGTGAGGTCCTTGTCTTCTGGGCAAACCACTCAACCACCTTCTCCCAGCCTCTGGGTTTGCAATACAATGCAATAATATTTCCTGCTGGATCTGGCAAAGCTTGTCATTCAAGCTAGTGGAGAGGCTGAGGTCGGATGATGAAAAGTCCAAGGCCTAGCTAGGCCACTTAGTGCAACTCTGGCTCAAGATGAAATGTACTTTTTATAAAGACTGGGAGTTAGAGATGTAGCATTCAGTTAGTAGAATGTTTGTCTGAAATGCATGAAGCATAACTGAGTGAGGTGTGAGGTGGCACACACCTGTAATCTCAGCACCCAGGAGGGAGATATGAGCAAAAAGATCCGAACAGAGTCATCCTCTGCTATGCAGCTAGTTTGAAACAAGCCTGGGCTAGATGACCATCCCCCCACCCTCCCACCCCACAGGTATAAATCAATGGTAGTGTGCTTGTCTAATAAGCTGGGGTATCGAAGTACAATTCCCCAGAATTATAAAAGAAAAAAAGTCATCCTGATCTTGTTATGGAGGGGTCAGTGACCAGTGACTCCTGTAGAGCCAGGATCCTGGCAAATCCTGTGTGCATGGAAGGTGTCATGGTGGGAGACTATACGTAACCAGGGAAAGTGGTTCGGTGGAGTCCGATGTTATAAGTAAACAGCATTTACTTACATCAGTCAGAGATGCTGGCTTGCTCCTGGGGCCATACAGACCACAGCTGAGCTCATGGTGGGCTTGCAGGCTGCCCTGCCCCTGCCTCACCTTTTCCTGCCCCTTTCACATCAAGAGATATCTAGACTAGCGTTCAATCTAGGGAACCAGGGGCCCACCCGAGCACTCATTCCAGGGCTTAAGAAGCTGACCAACTTTCAAGGAGGAGAGGAGAGGGTGGAAGATGAAGAACACGGGGCGGAGTGGGAGAGGGGGGAAGGGGGGGAGGGGGGAGGGAGAGAGAGGATATTAGAAAGCGAGAGGAGGAGAGGAGGGGAAGGAGCCGGAGGGAGGGGGAAGAGAAGAAAAAGCGAAGGGGAGGAGGAGAAAGACGGCCTAGAGCGTACCTTGTGCAAACTGCGGCAGTGCAGCAGCGCCACCAACTGGTGGAAGCTTCTTTCGGTCACATTCAGCGTCTCCTCCAAGGATAACAAGGGCTTCTGCAGTGGGAGGGAGAGGACACAGTTAACAACGTCCTACTACCCAGTGAAGTAGGCCCCGCCCTCAACCCAAGGACCCCCACCTCCCAAAGGGACCAGACCTTCCCCCGATATAGGTTCAGCCACACCCTAGAGCCTCTCACCTCCACTGTTGCCCCAGCACCAAGAGAAATGTGGATTTTTCTTGCTGCAACCCCTTTCCGTAGGCTCTGTCCCAGAGACCAGCTTAGCTCTGTTCCTCACCCCTTCCCATAGGTTTGCACACAACATGAAATCCCGCCTACTCGGAGAAGGGCCAGCTCCACAAGTCTGTCTGACACAGTCAATCTGTCCCTTTACATGAGTGGGGCCAGCATCCCACAGCCTCACCAGGCTCAGCCCTTTTTCCTCCCGGGCTGGTGCAGTCCTTTGACCTAACCTGTGCAGCAGAAAATTGAGGAATAGCTTCCCGCTCCAGGCCCTGTAGCTGAGAGTGGATGCTGGCTAGAGCACGCTGGGACAGAGTCAGCCTCTGCAGGGAGATAAGAGAAAGGAGGGCTGAGGTCAAGGTGTCCACCATGTCATCTGTCCACTAGACTATATAACTCTGGGCCTTGGCATTTTCCACCTCCCATGGAGCCCTGGAGCCTCTAGTGTGACCCCTTGAGGCTCCACATTAGCCAATACCTCAACGCCCATGTCTTTTGCCCACAGTCCTAACCTGTTGGAAGGGGTTGGAGACCGCCTGGTTGCACAGGAAATAATAGTTGACGATGTCTGAAGTGGAGGGAGAAAAAGGAGCAGGCTGTAAGCCTGGGCCCAGGCTCTCCCTGGGCAAATCTAGAGGGCCAAAAGCCCAGGGGACATTCCACACCCAGTTTGAGACATTCTTGGGGTCACTCTCCCATCCATTCCCTTTCCTCCCTCTCTTCCCCCCTCCTTCCCTTCTCTCTCCCTCCTTCTATTCCCCTTCCTTCTTCTCCTCCACCCCTCCCTTTTTCCTTTCCTCTTCCCCTTCCCCTTTCTCCCCTCCTCTCTCCCTCTCTACCCTTCCCCCTCCCTTTTCCTTTCTGTCCCTCCTCTCCTTGTTCAGTTGTTCAGTTTGTTGATGTTGTTTTGAGACAGTCTCACGTAGCCCAGATTTGCCTTGAACTCTCTATGTAGCTACAGACGACCTCGAACGCTTCTAATCTTCCTTCCTGAGTGCTGGGCACAAGGCAAGCTTTATGTGTTGCTGGGAATCAAACTTACAGCTTTGAGAAGCACTCTACCAATGGAGGGACGTCCTCAATTCCATTCGTTCTTTTTTTTGTTGTTGTTTTTGTTTTAAAACAAGGTGTGACAAGGTCTAGATAACCCAGGCTGTCCTTGAACTCACACCTCAGCCTCCTAATGGCTGGGATTATAGGTGGGTAGCATCACACACCATACATTCATCCCTTCTGCTTCAGCCATATCTGGAAGCAGATTCAACTGACCTAATTATGCTTCCTTGTTATCCTACAGTCCAACCCTCTGATCACTGAGGCCCAGGGCCCACATTCCCTTGTCTAGTCATACCAACAGGCATTTTGATCCTGCCCTTTTCCCATGCTGTCAGGATGGGTAGATGCTGCTGCTCTCTCCCCTACAACCAACTGGGCTCTGGGGGATAGGAGGGAGTGCCGGGGACAGCAGGGACTTATGGGAATCACCTGAGCTGAGCCCTGTCTCCTCCTGGGTCAGGTTCAGCACATAGGTGTCTGGGTTGGAGCAGAAGTCACTGAGGCCCTGATGAAGGAAGCAGGATCAGACCAGAATGTCCAGTTTCATATTTCCACAGAACTCAGAGATCCAGGCCCCAACCCTCTTCCCTCGACCCACGGGTCCAGACTTCAGCTTTCCTCAGACTGACGAGTCTAGGCACCAGCCTCTGCTCTCTCAGGATCCAGCAATTAAGGCTGAGACCTCAGAACTGTGATCATGATCCAACCCCATCCCCGCCTTCGGGTTTATGGCATTAATCAGGTCTCATCCACCCCAGGATCAGAACCCCTGAGTCCAGACTCCCATACTCACCACAGCTGTGGCAGCCTCTAGGCCCATAGAACCCCAACTCAGAACAAGCACCAGGAGACTCATGGCAGTCATCCTAGAGAGGAAGGTGGTTGAATCAGGACTCAATCAGCCTTGCCTCTTTTGACACCCCATATCCAATCACTGCTCTCCCCAGTACCCACCAATCTCTGTAGCCTAGAGGATTAGAGTCAGAAGCACAGGAATAAACAGTGGGGGTAAGGCCCATGACTGACTGACGTCAAATACAACATCTGTTCAGCTGGGAAAGGAAAGGGGAAGGTCTTGGCTGCCAGGTCAGTAGCCACTATCCCAACTGTTCCTGGAGCCTAGGAGGCAGCCGTCCACCCCTGGGCTGAATTTCCTGGTATTTAACTGCACAGGGTCTAGTAGGTTCTGAGGCAGCTTCAAGGCCCAATTCACTGCCCATTTTATGTAGCTAGACTCTCTCTACTTGCTCCACCTCCAAGCTGTAAAGTGTGGGGATTGTTACAGAGTTGATTTCTGAAATTCAGAGCCTGACTTATTTAAGGCTTGGCTTATGTCAAGAGCTGTGACAGGTGGAATAAATCTGGGTCATAGGGTGGAGAGGTTTACAGCTGTTGGAAACCGAAAGACCAGTTCATATACTTGGCTCAGCATAGTGTGTTTTCATCAGTCTCCAAGCTTTGATGCAGTAGCTGGACATCTTCCTCAGGGAGATTCCAAAGACAGTGGGCACCAAGGCAGAAGGGGCATGGGTTCTTCCAGTGATGGGCAGTCTGAATTTAAGCCCTGTCACAGTACTTCCTGGCAGTGTGGTCCTGAACAAGTAACCCAGTCACACTGAGTCCACCACCTCCCACTGTTAAACAGAGGACACTGCCTACCTCCCTGCAAGACTTAGTGTGAGAGTCCCATGAAGTCCTAAGGGCTGTGTCTGGCACATGGAGAACTGTGCAGTAAGAGCACAGGTCCTGTGTGCCTGCACGTTACCTCAGGTCCCTCACCTGCCATACAGGGGACCTGGTGGCACTTCCTCCATGGGTTTGTTGTGGTGACCAAAGGAGAAAGCATGCGTGGCATGTCAGAGATCAATCTCCCCCCCCCCCCTTTATGGCAAATGCAATCTATCTTTTTCCTGACTTTAGCATGTTGCTTGCTGGAAACCCGCTTGGTTCCCTCCCCTGAGCAATTCCTTCCACTCACACAACCACCAGCCATTTGCTCTGCTTTGCCAGGCCCAGGAGGGTGAAGAGACAAACCAGAAGCACCAAGAGCAGCAGGAGGACATAGGCCAGCCACCTGCAGGAAGAAGGACCAAGACAATAAGCCTCAGGGGGCTATTGGCCTCCCAGAATCACCCCAACACAAGCTGGTCCTGCAACGTCTCTGCTGCCCAGTGAAATGGTACCCGGGCTCACAAGACTCCAGAGTGCTGTGCAGCATCAGTGTGGAATTGAAGCACCTGGTACCTACCCTGACCAATTCACATAGAAGTTCTGTGGTGGTGGACACAGTCGTCGGCCTCTCTGGTTGGATCTCCAACTCAGCACTTTAGGGTGTCAGTACCTATGACCTAATTCAATATTTCAGAGGTATGGTGCATAGGTCTCAACTACCCAATTAGCCATGTAACCTGTTTGCCTCCGTTTCCCTACCAGTGACATGACGGCATAACAGGATCAACCTTAAAGTTTGTTGCCAGGTAAATGAATGGGCTTCTGGGTGCAGTTAATGTTGGATAAATCACTATGCGGGAGGGCTTTGAATGCTACATAAGTAAGTAACGCACCAGGACTGCAGGGGAGGATGCTTGGAAGGCCCCAGTTCAGTGCTCGGCGCACTGGCACACTGCAGGTGCTCAGTGATAAGTGTCAGCCTCAGCAGTTCCCATGGAGCTGTGGTTTGTACCCTGAGTCTTTGTCCCTGACCACACCGCCAGACTCACCTCTGTGGCCCTGATGCATTGGTTGAGGGCCTCTCTAACATCACACACTTTTACAGAGCATCTTCCTAAGATCATGCTCACAGCATCCACTACCTCCCCGACCAAGCTCCCAGGATCCTAGGAACCATGACACAGAACCTGCCTGCCTCCCACTGAATTGATCCCCCACCATGTATCCTCAGCCGGGATTGGTTCAGCCCCAGTGTGCTTGTACCAAAGATCTCGGCCTCGTGCTTGAGAATAGGAGATTCAGGGGTATTAGCTCAAAGCAAGCAGGAATGAGATAACCATGAGTACATGAAGCCTGGTCGTGTTGGCTGCTGAGATGGATGGCTGCCTCAGAGGGCTGCACAGTTTGTCCTGTCCCCTCAAGTACCACCCTTTAGTATGGCCCTTCGAAACACCCTGACACAAGCTGCTTGCCTGTCCCCAGACAAACCCCTTCCTATTTAATTTTCTCCAAACCACTCATTAATTACTCACCTTACAGAAAATGTGCTTGCTTTTTAAAAATATTTTTATTTCATATGTACAGGTAGGTGTTTGTGCCTTCATGTATGTATGTCTACCAAATACATGCCTGGTGTCTGCAGAGGTGAGAAGAAAGTCTTGGATCCCACAGAACTGGAGTTACAGATAGTTGTGAGCCAGCATATGAGTGCTGAGAACTGAACCTAGGTCCTCTACAAGCAAAGCACAGCAAGTGCTCTTAATCACTGAACCATCCAGATCCTCCCACTCCCCTCTGATGCTACTATGAACACAGAGCCTCACACAGGTTAGGTAGGCAACTCTATCCCTGAGTCATATTCTCAGATCTTCAGTAGTGGATTCTAGGTGAGCCATACTCCCAACCTTTCACTGGTGGATTCTAGGCAGGAGCTCTACCACTGAGCCACACTCCAACCCTTCACTGGAGGATTCTAGGCAGGAGCTCTACCACTGAGCCACACTCCAACCCTTCACTGGGGGATTCTAGGCAGGAGCTCTACCACTGAGCCACACTCCAACCCTTCACTGGGGGATTCTAGGCAGGAGCTCTACCACTGATCCACGTCCCCAGCCCCTCACTGGGGGATTCTAGGCAGATGTTTTACCACACTCTCAATCCCTTATCAGCAGATTCTAGGCAAATATTCTTCCATTATCACATTCTCAGCCTTTTTACTTTTTATTTGGAGACAATGTCTCACTAAGTTATTCATACTGGCCTTGAAATCTGTAGCCCACACAGGCCTTGAGTTTTTAATCCTTTTACTGAGTCTCCGGAGCAGTTGAGATTACAGGCCTATACATACCCCCAGGCCTGGCTTCGTGGGCCTGTTTTATATTGCATTCCCTCCCTCCTAGGTGGGATTTCCTGTATTATCCCCAGTGCTTGGTATATCTGTGTTTTACTGGCACTGTCTCATCTGCTACTGTGTGCTTGTTGTTTCAGACATTCAGAGTTATTAACTAACTCTCCTCAATCCATTTTGAGCTGTGCACAACAGGACTCACTTTAAGGTGGGTAAACTGAGGCCCAGGGATGGGAAGAAACTTGTTTAAGGACCTACAAATACAGAGGAGTGGCCTCCTGAAGCTGAGGTCCCCAATCATGTGCACACTGTCTTTCACCAGATGAACTCGGTTGCCTCCGGAATAATCCAGTAGGTAGGATTGTTACTAGGGTTAGTCCAGGAGAAACTGTGTGGAACGGTGATATACAGGCTGAATGACTCATTCATGGAATGGCTGAGTGAGTGAGTGAGTGAGATGGGTGGCCATTGATGGGGTATGTAACTATGAGGGTGCTCCCTGTCATCACAGCTGAGTATATCAGCTTGTTTTACATTCACAACCCGGTAATTCTCAACAGTGGAGCTAGCCTATAGGATAATGGACAGCATCCTGTTTCCACCTACCAGGAGCCGGTAGCTTCTTTTTCAACCAGTGGGACAAATTAAACTCCTTAGATACTATCCCACATCCCCAGGATCTAGTTTGAGACCACAATGCTTAAAAAATAAATAGGAAAATCCTTCTCGCCGGGCGGTGGTGGCGCACGCCTTTGATCCCAGCACTTGGGAGGCAGAGGCAGGCAGATTTCTGAGTTCGAGGCCAGCCTGGTCTACTGAGTCAGTTCCAGGACAGCCAGGGCTACACAGAGAAACCCTGTCTCGAAAAAACAAACAAACAAACAAACAAAAAAAAAAGGAAAATCCTTCTCCCACCTGTACTCCTCCACGAAAGTCACATCTTCAGCCACCTGTACTGGGTTCAGGGACACTCCTTGCCAGAAGGCTAGTCCTTGCAAGTGCTGAGCTGCAGCCTCAGCCTGCCTTCGGGCTCCCCTGGTGGCAGCCACCAACTCCATGCGTTCTGATAGCACTTCTTCCAGGGTGGTCAGCTCCGACCTCACGGCCTCACCCAGCCTCTCTACCGTTTCCAGCACCTGGGAAGATGACATAGTCTCATGTCTGGGATGGTTTTTACTCAAAGCCTAGGGTTGTGGACGGGGGGTGGGGGTGGGGTGGGGGGGAAGGGGCGATGAAACAGGATTAAGGAGTGTCAGGTGCCTGATGATCTAGAGTCTGGGGCATCCGGAGACTGAGGGAAGGTGAGTCAAGGTGAGGCTCCCAGGTCTTGTTAGGAGCTCTAGTTGGTCAAGGGGCTTGAGTCCAAGGTAAAGATTCTAACCTCTGTGTTGATAGGTCAAAATGGAAGAGAGCGATCTGAAGTCTGCATCTGCCTTTTTGAGGATGGGGTCTGAAATCTGATTATTAGGTACTGAATGAACTTCAAGGTTGGAAGTGGGCTGCATCTTAGCCCTGCCTGAACTCTGGAATCCTAGGTACACCAAAGCTCACAGTGGGGCGTGGGGGTTCCTGAACTTGCATTTCAGCTAGGATAGGGTCTGTAGCTTTGGATCTGGCCTGAGAGAAGGTGCTGGTATCCTTAGTGCTTGGAATATAAACTGAAGTGCAGGCCTGGGGCTAGATGTGAGTGTCCAGGCTTAGTCTGAATCTAGATCCAGCTCCAGTTTGCAGGGTTGGGGTTGAACATATGGTCTACGGTCTGCAGGTCTGAGTTTGCAGTTCTGGATTAAGTTTTGGGCCTGAAATCTGCTTTGATTTGGCTGCATTTGTTTTCCAGTGGGGGACTACATCCCCATGTGAAAACCAACTGGGGCATGAGTGTGCAGTCTGGTCAGTGGCTGGCTCCCTCACCAAGTCATCAATGGTGCTGAGCGTGTGGTTGGCGTGCAGCAGTGCTGAGCTGAGCTGGGACACCCCATCGCTGGTCTCGCTGTTACCATAGAAACCAATGCCAATGCCTGCACTGAAAGTAAAAGGAAGAAGAAATACCAACCAGTCTCAGACCCTGGAGGGTGGCACCATGCCTCCACATACATACCCGTCCACCCCGCTTCTTCATTTGCCTATCCAATCTCTGCATCCACCCTATTGGTTCATCCTCCGTGGGAAAAAAAGAACAGCTCAAGGCTGGCCTCCACTAGTTGCCAAGGTAACCTGAAGACCTCGCTCCCCCTGCTGGAGAGACGTCATTGTGATGCTAATGGTGGGTGGAGTGGTGGAAAAGAAGGAGCCCCCAGATTTAACTCACACCTCCCCAGAGTGGAACCCTGGCTTTTGCCTAGCTAGCCCTGGATTAAAGGTTATCAGTTCCTAATTATGGTCAGCTCACAACCAAGTCCCACATTCTTTGCAAAGACATTCAGCATTTGCAGCCTTGGCTTAGGAATCATTCGGCCAACAGCTGTCTCTTCTAGCCCAGGTGTTCCTTACCCCTTCCTCCTAAATGCCCTAGACCCTATTCTTTTGTAAAAGACATTGTGCCCGGAGCTCTAAGCCTTCCCCTATGATGCCCAGGGATCCAGGCATCCAGCCAGCTGGAAGAGACTGAGTGAGAGAATGTGGGAGGGAGGGCTGGAGGCCAGGCCAAGAGCTGGGCCCCTGTCTCTGCCCAGCCAACACACAGACATCCATTGTAGAGCTTGAATATGGGGACCCACTTTCCTCCCTTAGTCTGTACTTCACACTGGAGGGGGCGAGAGCCTGATGCCCTCACAGTTCCCAGCCTTGGGCTACACAGGCCCCACCCTATTCCTTGGATGGGAGCCTACCGCCCTTGCCCCATTGTTCAGAACCCTACAAAGCTCCTCTTATTCCTGGGCTTTGAGGGGGCTGGGGCTGTGTCTCTCCCCCACTGGGCCTTTGTCAACATCCCACCCCCATCCACCCCCATTCTAGAGAGCCCGATGAGAAAAAAAAATCTTGGATATAGGGCTCCCAACCCCCATATACTCCCAAACACACACCCTCTTCTTCCTACATTGAGGAAGAGTGGCCCAGAGCCCAGACTGGGGTGAGTACTCCAGGCCATGCCTAGCTGGCTGGAGGGGACACCATATTCCTAAAGGACTCCTGCTGGCCATGTATGAGGTCCCCAGCAGGTCTCAGCCCCCTGACTAACCATGACCTGGTAGGGGCTTTACTCAGAGCCAGCAATCTTGGTGTCAAGTTCGATGAAACTCTTAGGCAGTTCTTATTGAGTTCTCCCTGGAGGGTTCTTATACCATGAGTCCAACTCTCCACTTGCCTCTTAGACCATAGAGGCTTAAAAAGTTATGTTCTCTCCCTCTCTGAGGCTCTCTCATACAGGACCATGTGTGGCAATCTTGAGCACAGCTCTCATCACAAGGACTCAGACCCAGCTTTAGAGTGGGCTGAGCGGATGGATGCTCCTGGTGGTGACCCTGTAAGGTCTGTTTCCCTGATTGGAACTTTGGCTGAAATCACAGAGTGTCTTCTCCGGCATGTTCAGTGCCTGGCACAGACTAGTTATGCTCAGTTGTTGAATGAATGAGTTGATGAATGAATGAATGAGTTTGATCAGTGTTAACACTGACAGGGGACATCCAGGACCCACACACTGTACACTCTAGTCTATTCTTAGTGTAACTAGGGTATGGGTAGTGCTGCAAAAGACACATTATAGATGGAGAAACTGAAGTCTAGAGAGTATCTCACTCCCCTAGACAGCACCACTGGCCAATGTGAACCACTGAAATCTCCAAGCCTATAGCAGGCGTTCTTTTCTACTCCTAGGCCAGCTGTTTCACCCTCCTTAAGCCTCTCTATCCCTCCACTCAAAGGGCAGGCAGGCAGGCAGGCACTCTTAGTGCTAGAGATTCTCCCTCCCAACTCTGGGCTCATACCCCCAAGGTATCTTGAAGAAGATGTACAGCAAATATAAGAAACTCTGTCCCCTCCCCCTACCCACCCTGGGGCCCCATTACCAGCCCACGAGAAGGGCAGCGATGCAGCTCCAGGTGACACAGCCTCCTCCAGGTGGGGGACTCTTGGCCCCAGGGGGTTCTGGAGGCCTGCAGCAGCAGAAGCGGATGAGGTAGACAGCGATGAAGATGAGGCTGAGGCCCAAACCCAGCCCAGCCAAGGCTGCCACCAGCAGCAGAGCCTGAGGAAGAGGTGGTGAGAAGCCTCAGAGGGTACTGTCATGTCCCAGACAAGAGGTTCCTCCTCCGCTCCATGGCAATTGAAATACAACATGTCCCAAGGATTTGCTAATGCTCTCTCTGAACTGTATGGGAATAAGGGCCAGGAAGGCTCCCATTTCTGTACCTCAGGAGAGGAGGGGAGGTAGCCTCCTCTACCCGTCTCTCCCTCCTGCTGCTGAGCTTACACACCAACTGCAACTCAGTCTGTCACCCCAGAGCTGGGGATGGAAACGGTTGCCGTGACTGTGTGTGTGTGTGAAAAGACTCAGGGATGGAGATACGGAGATACGGAAGACTGAACGAGCAAAAGAGATGAAGATGCAGACAGACAGAGGCAGCCAAGGAAAGAAGAGAGAGATGTAGAGATAAGACACACCAAACACCAGACGGATTAAGTCAGAGATAGAGGAGAGAGACAGAGAAGACAGAGGTGTATAAAGAACTAGGAAAAAAAAAAGCAGAGTTTATAGTGAGACCCAAAGGATAGAAGAAAGGAAAGGTAGGCTGAAAGGATGCTGACAGCTGCAACACCTTGCAGAACAGGGTGGCTCTGATCTAGGTGTGTTCCAGCATGCTGGCAGCTGAGGCAAGAAAACGGCCACAATTTCAGGCTAGACTATGATAAACTCCAGTCAGCCTGGACTAGAGAGTGAGGCCATGTCTTAAATAAATTATAGGATAGTGGAATCTGCATAAGGTAGGGTCTTTGAGGAGACCTGTGTCTCATGTCTCCTCAAAGGCCCAGGGCTGGACATGGTTTTCCTAGAGTTACATAGCAGGGTAGTGGAAGTGTGAGGTCTGGAATCACAACCCTGCAGTCCCAGGGGCCACTGTCCTTAACCCATGGCACAGCTGCCTGTCCTCCACATCACCTGTGTGCCTGATGAGTGTGTGCAGTGTTGATGTGGCTGTGAATTTGCCTTCCACCAGATGAGGGCATATGGAGAGCGAGTATGGGGTGTTTGTGTAGATCATGCTGCGTGCCTGTATGCAACAGAATACTTGTGGGCAATAATTAGGTAGACTATGAGTGTGTTTGTGAGCGTGTGTGTGTGAGCTTGTGCACTTATAAGGTGGGGTAGGTGTGCATAATGTATGAGTGTGCCCGTGTGTGTGACGGTGTCCACATGAGTGTGCTATGTATACGTGACTGGTCATATGGTTGTGCAGGTCCTATCTCAGAGTCTCTCTCAGAGTCTATTTTTCTATGCTCACAGTGGTCATTTCCATGAAGAATAATGTCCCAGGGATGCGACTGTGTGTGCCTCAGCTGTGACTCTGACTGATGAGTATCGGGTTGAGTGAACTGCTCTGAGCAACTGTGGTGATACTGGGGGCCCAAGGGGGATCCCTCGTGGCTGAGGAACTCTCCAGAGCCATAAGCCCCGTGAGTCTGGCTGGGAGTGGGTGGACCAACCGTCTGGAGGCTGTGATTGTGTAAGTGGCTGTGGGCGAGGGGATGGCGGTCCTCGTTTGGAGGGGAGAGGGGGCGGGTGGAGTAGGCAGGGAGGAGCCGCTCAGGCTGTGCCAGCCATGACCCAAATAGCAAGCACACCAGCACACGAACCCCCTTGCTGCTTTTCTGGGAACATCCCCCTCCCTTGAAGCTCTCCCAACCCTGTGCCCCTTTCCCAGAAGCCACCCTGGTCAGCCGCAGAGGTTCAGACTTGAGGGGAGGGCAGGGCCAACTCCCAGCCCCCCATCAGGCCCCCAGCTCAGCCAAGCTTTTCTCCTCATTAATCTCAAAGTCACGGACTTGAATTAAACTGGGTCAGGGGACAGCACCTCCGCCCCCCTACGAGCTGCAGCTGGGCCTCTTTTCCTAGGGACCCCAGAGTCTGTAAGGGTCCACCACCAGCCTCACCCTCCTGAGACCCAGGCCTGTTGGCTTCCTTAGCCCGGAACCTAACCACATCTCTATCCCAACACTCTCTGTCACCCTAACAACCCTTTCCCTCCTGGGACAGGCTAAAAACACCTTGAATCCTCACCCCATCTCATCTGATTTCCCGAGCCCTGGTCTCTATTCCCTATTTGAGGATATCAATCCGTCCCAGACCTCAGCTGCCTCCCCTGCCTTCCCTCTCTCAGTCCCCCCCCCCACTCTTTTTTTAATCTGGGACATATTTACCAGTTGGGATCCTGTGGGGGCGGGGTCCTTCTCGCCTGGGACCTCAAGAACGAACCTTTCCTTAGATGACCCTAGAGACTGTTTTTCTAGGCAGGTCTCAGAAACCCAAATGTTGGGGCCCCATCTCCTCCCATTCAGGACTCTTGGAAGTCTAGGATCCCAGCTCTCCTTATCTAGGGAAAGAGGGGTCTGCACCCCCAGCGCAAGTCCTAGGGGAACCTCAAGGTATGAGCTCTCTACCTCTAATCTTGGACTTGTACTCACAAATCCAGGCCGGGTCCCCAGTCCCTAAGACGCCGGAACTCTGACCCAGCCTCCTGTTCCCAGGGGACCTGGCCCAGGTTTGCCATCCCACCTGCTGGTACTCTTGGTCGCGGGGAGCAAAGCCGCTGGGCACCGGGCGGAGCTGGAAGTCGGCGCGAGGCAGCTGGTGGAGGAGATGCACCCAGGCAGAGGGTCGGTAGCCCGGGGGTGCCCCCATGGCCCCGGGGAGGGGCAGCGGGGCGGACCGGGCCGGGAGCCTCGGTGCTGTGCGGGGCGCGGGCGGAGCGGGGTTTGCGGGGCTCCCGGGAGCAGGAGCCCGGAGGGCGGGGGGTGGAGATTGGGGAGGGGGGAGGCGAGGCAGCGCCTCAGTGCTGCCTCTGGCGGCCACCGGGGGCAATGCGGCGTGAGCAGTGGGCCCCGTGGCTCCGCCCTCTCCCGGGCTCCCACCTGCTGCCTGAGCAGGTGAAGGGTCTTTGCTCAAGTCTGGTACCCCGGGCTGCACTGTGCTGAGAACAAACTGGATTAGCCCGCCGTGTCCCTGTCTCCGTACAAGAGCCAGGATACTGGGATTTCTCTTTGAGGCACACAAGCTCTTTATCCTTATGTAAAACCTTCACCTTGGTGGAAAGGTCATTAGTGTTTGAGCATCATTTAGCCAGGGCGCGCCAATGAAAAAAATCTCTCACTTTTCTGTTTGTAAAGACAGCCTCTGCTTAGGTAAAAGTCTCCTCCTCCGCGACACATTTTGTCCTAACCTCTATATGGACACAGTTTCTAGACAGAAATCTAACTGTGTGAGTGGACCCTTCCGGAAAGACCTACACACGTTGTGAGGACTGTTTATATAAGGACCCCACCCCCTTTGAGTAGGATTCTAGTTATCTATATAGGGACTCATCCCATGTGTGTATGGTAGCTTCCCACATGTTTGAGACCTCCTCTAAACTGCTTCAGTCTATAGAATGACCCCCACCCCTTGCCACTCACTGTAAAGCGTACAAGCTGTCTTCTAGCCAAAGTATTTGTGTTGGGTCTCATGGGAAGCTGCTAAACTCACACAGGCAGGTATTGAGACTCTGGAGGGAACCTGACCACCACGAAATCATCACTCAGACCTGAACTGTGTGACCTAAAACTAACATTCCCAGGATTCTGCTCAAGTGTCCCCTTTGGTGTGGAGAAGGGGTAATCCTTGCCCCTGGAATGCCCAGTAATGCTTCTGTCTGGCTGGGAGAGGGCATGGGATGGAAAGGAGTAAGAGTTGATCCACCTCCCCCATCCCATTCCTGTATTTTGGTTGAGGATGGTAGAAAAGGGCTAGCAAGAGAAGTAATGGTGATGTTGGTGATGACTTTAATGGTCCTGATGATACTGATGGAAGTCATGGGGATGGTAGAATTGTGATGGTGGAGGTGATAACGGTGATGGTCGTGATGGTGGTGATGGTAATTATTACAGTGGTGATGGGGATGCAGCTCCTGAAGATGATGGTGGTGGTGGTGATAAGGATGATGGTGATCATGCAGATGACAAGATTTCTCATGGTGTTGATGATGGTGGCTGTGGAGACTGATGATGAAGATGGTGGTGATGGTGGTGATGACAGTCATGATGATCATGATAATGGCAACGGTGGTGGCGATGGTAATGACAATAACAAGTAGAAGTAAGAAGTTGGGTGACCTCATATTTCTCACCATCCCAACCAAACAGTCTGCACGAGGCTTGGAAGTAACAAAGACTCTGAGACGAGCAGCTGGAGGCCTTCTGACTGACTTTATGTGGGTTCTGAATCTCAAGTCTTTATTTCTTGATCTTTACAACTGAGAGGATAGATATTTTATGTGTCAGCTTAAAAACAAGTGAGGGCCAGAAAAGGTAAGTAGTGGCATCCCGACTCATAGAATCAAAAACTCCAATGGGAAACAGTAATCTGGTACAGATTCACAGATACACAGATACATGGACATATGGACACAGACACACAGACACACAGACACACACACAGACACACACACAGAAGGGGGGAGAGGGAGACAGAGGGAGAGAGGGATAGAAAGAGAGAGAGAGAGAGAGAGAGAGAGAGAGAGAGAGAGAGAGAGAGAGGAGAGAGAGAGAGACAGACAGAGAGAGAGAATTTGAACCTATTGCCTCTCTGTCTGCCCATCCATTCCATTTGTCTCCATCTCTCTCCCTCTTGGATGTGTGGTTTGATCCCAGAAGGCAGCCTCGTTGGGGAATTGCTTCAGTCTGTATTGATTAAACTCAAGACGCCTGTCTTATTACGTCAGAGATGTGTGGTACTATCTGATACAGATCTGTTGGCTTGACCTGCACTTGGCATTATGCCCCCCCCCTTTTTAAAAAAATCTGGATATGGACATATGGAGACATGGAGATATGGTCTTTGTTGGTCTCCAGAGTCCCCAGCTGGGGACACTATTTCCCAGTAACCTCAGGTCCCATAGGCATCAATTCAAGCTGGGTGTAGAGAAGCTGGACACGTGATTGATGCCATTTAGTTTCAGCCAGTGTTGCCATATGGGAAGAGGAAACCAGCCTTACCAGATGTTCCAAATTTCTAAACGAAGACTGAAATCTGGATATTTTTAAAGCAAAAATCCCTCAGCTTTTAAACGTTAAAATGAATTCAAATAAAAAAAAGATTATGTGGGCCAAATAAAACCTGTCCGTGGGTTGGAGTTGGCTGGTCTGCAAGCTCTGGTCTATCCAGACACTGTGCCACGCTGGCATGCAAGGGGCAAGCAGAGGAATGGGTGGGGCATGGTGATGCTGAGCCAGAGAAATGTGAGAGAAGCTCAGGAAGGGTAGTGATGCACCTTCTCTAGGGGCCTCATACCCAGCTCTTCCTGACAGAGGGTAGGAGCAAGTCTCAGCTGAGAGATTCTCCTTAGACTATAGGAGCCTTACTGGTTAGCTAGGTAGGTGGAGGTTCCTGGAAATACTACTATGTTCTGCTTCCTATTCCTAGCACACAGTAGGTCCTCACTAAATGGAATCAGCTATGATTCATTGTCCTACAGGTCTCATACACGATACAGGTCTCTACCCTTTTCCTGGCACTGCTTTGTGTCCTAAAAGGAAGCAACACAGCTTCCTATAGATAATAGCTACCCATGTTCATTTAGTAGGTAAGGCAAAGGAGACATAGAGTGTACGACTTTAGGAAAAAGGAAATATTTAAGTGAAGGTACCCCTGAGATGCCCACACATCTGTATTTACCGCAGCACTGTGCACAGTTGTCAAGTTACAGAATCAGCCATGGTATCCATCAGCTGATGAATGGATTAAAAAAAAGTGTTATGTATACACACAATGGAATCTTGTGTAGCAGTAAAAAGGAATGAATCATTGTTTGCAAGAAATTAGATGGAACTGGAGATCCTCGTGTTAAGTGAAATAAGCCAGATTTATAAAGACAAATATTGCATGTTTTCTTTCATATGTGGAATTAGATTACATTCACACACACACACACAGTGAAAAATATTATGTAACAAATTGCAATGTATGATAAATAAATACTAATAACAATTAAACTAAGTAAATATTCTATTTGACTATGTAATGGGAAAAATGATTGCTTCTGGATACAGAAGACACTTGGGAAATGGCTCTTACTGCGTGTGGGTGACCTTCAAGCATATACTCAAATAACTGACAGCTTGCACCTCACAGCTGAGCTACCTGACGTGAGTCCAGATGGTAGAGTTGCTAATTTTGTGTGCTGACATGGCTGGGTTGGGGATACATGAATTATTGGTACAATATCTAGTATTACTTCTTTTTTCACATTGAGTGTGTCTGAGAGCAGTTGTTAGAGATTAGATTTCAGTTCATCATGCAGATGCAGGATTCTTCCTCCATCTATTGAGGATTAGAAAAGGGCACTCTATTCCATGCCTGTAACATTCTCTTCTCCTGGTGTAGGACACTTGAACACCTGACTCTCTGGCCTTCAGACTCAAGGTGATGCCAACTTCTTGCTTCTCTGGGTCTTTTTGGCTTCCATAGTTGTTGAGCCAATTCTCATCATAAATTTAATTCAGTCTATATTTGTATCTATGTGTCTACCTATGTATGTATATATGTATGTATGTACGCATACATGTATGCATCTGTCTGTCTGTGGTGCATCAAATGAGAAATGCCTGCTCTCTCCCTCGCAGACTCATGAACTTGAACACTTGGTCCCCAGTTAGTGGCAGCTGTCATGGAACCTTTAGGAGGAGGTGCCTTGCTTGAGGAAGTACATCACTAGGGAGGGCTTCTGAGAGTTTTAGCCTCACGACACTTTCAGATTGTTTTCTCTGTTTCATGCTTGTAGTTAAAAATGTGATCTCTCAGCTTTCAGCTCCAGTCTCCTGCTGCCATGACCCTTCCAGTATTACATCCTCTCCCTTTAGAATCCTACGCTCAAATAAAAAGTTAAGCAATACAGAACTTGGTACCAGTAGTGCAGTCAGTCTATCTATCTATCCATCCATCCATCCATCCATCCATCCATCTATCTATCCATCACTCATCTTGTATTTACTTACCCATTCATCCATCACTCATCCATCCATTTGTGCTGCTTCTCTGCAGAACTCCTACCTTGATCTGCCAAGTCTATTCTTAGGTATTTATTTACTCAGGAAAAATGAAGACATTCATCCACAATAAAAACTATGAAAAAACTTACATAGCAGCTAAATTCCTAATAATCCAGGGCTAGAAACAGTCTGAATATCTATCCACAGAGGATGGCAGAGAATCCATACCTAGAACGATTAAAGGGCCAAGAATCTGTGGCTACATAGGTCATAGTCCCCAGGGGAGAGCCAATATTGTTCTGCCAAATGAATATAATATTAAAACACTGACTTATTACTGTATTCATAGATCAGATAATTTCTCAACTCTCCTCAGAGAAGCTTCTCCTTCCAGAAGTAGCAATTAACATAGAAACCCTCAACTGGTTACTGTATAGAGAACAAAAACCTCTGGGGTTCTCAGCCGCAGATTGGATGTCCATATTACACCCGCCCCCTCCAAGGCTGAGGGATCTCTTCAGAAGTGGATAACTTCAAGTAAATGTATTTTCCAGACATAACATGTCAGATAAACTTATGAATTTATGGAAATGTGACATTATGAAAACTTGCTCAAGGTTAGCACACAATGCCACCACTAATTGAGGACCTATTGGCATTTTACAGCTGCTAGAAGAGGGAGAGTCCCTTTTTAAAAGTGATATGACCCCTGGCAAGCTGACCAAACACTGAAACAAGCCTCAATCTCAAGAC